CCGCGTACAAGCCGTGTGCCGTTACGTCGGTATATAAGTTTCGAGGTTTACGTCGGTTCAGGCTGGATTAAGTCCCCCTCCCCTTCCCCCTCTAGGACCTATCGACGTGGCCACTTTCGGCCGCCATTTTTCTGACCGTCGACGTAATTTTCGTGAACGTTCCGGGGGGACCTTTCGGGATGGATTACCGGTAATTGGGAATTCTATGGATGATTTGTGCTGTTTCGCGCGATATCAAAGGAATAGAATAACTGACACAATGATATCAGATTACAGTTTTATAATTAATCCTTTGCATTACGATTTCTTTTACGATTAGATACAGAAGAAATTCTGTTCTTATGACAAGTGTAACATTTACCTCGAAATTTTCAATGTTAATACCAGCAAAACAGTATTTCACGTCGACTTGAAAGTAAACGAATAATATGCACGTTTATTAAATCCAGAGTGAAATCGTTATCACGTGTCTGACTCGGTGTTGTGAGGCAAGGGGTCAAAGTTTTTTCTAGTAGAAAGAATAATACAATTCGAAGCATTCTTCCATATAGACACGATGAAATTTTCTCTAGATATGGATAGCGGTTGAAAATATACATATACATAACATTCTCGATTTTTATTTCGTCATTCCTTATCGACCGTTAATGAACCAAAGTCTCGAACATTCAATATTCTTTGACCTACTAATACATACTTCTTTGACGCCTTTATGTGTGAAGTGGTTTCTATAAATGAGAATTTAATTTAATTACACCCTCTCGGATTCACCCTGCCTACTTTTTTATTATCCTCTTCTGACCGGAACGGACCATTATATGTTGCGTAATTCATTCGATAATCATCGCACGTCACCGGCAGCGAATTCAAAAGTACGAAATGGAGGAAAAACTTTGGGTCGAACCCAGCCATTCCGTACTATCAGCGGAGTTGGCGAGCGGTTCCCGTCGGAATAGTTGGCAACGGGCCGGTTCCGGAGTAGAGGAAAGGGTGGGGGGGGGGCAGAAAAAGGCAAAGAGTAGCAGCGAATTTCAAGAAGGAAGAGGTCACTTTTATTACGGAGGGAACCAGCCACGTATCGGAACTATTTCGAAACCCGGAACAGCTTTATTCGACTCGAGCCTGACACCGGGCTTAATCAGGCCAGAATCGAGTCAATGTTTGTTCCACTTTACTTACTCCTTCGATGTGATTAGATCTTGTCCCATTTTATAAGTCGTAAAACCAGTCCTCGATCCGACCCCCGAAGAGTTTCGGTCACTTCCTCCGTGTACGAAGAGCGTTCCCCTTTCGATCGATATCCTGAAACCGCAAATCGGAGTCGCACCTTTGGAGAACCGTGTCCAGAGTACGATGATAATTTTCGAGGGTTACTGGTTCAAACAGCAACACCAATTTCGATCCAATATCGAAGAGACAATTTTCGAAGCTGTTTTTTAATTCAACACGTAGGAACGAATTATTAATGCCAGACTTCCAAGGGAAATATCCAAGCCGTTAATAATTTTTACTTCTTTTCCCCTACCTCCCTCCCCCCTCACTGGCATCTTTAGCACCCCCGTGATAGCGTCAGATCCATCGTTCTTACAATGCCTGCAGGTAAAACTATCATTAATCTGCCCTTTCCTTTCTCCTCGCTCTCATTTGTCCTCGGTTCACGTTCCGCGGAGTGCGCCGGTGGACATTAATTATCGGAAAAAGGGCTGCGCAAGAACGAAAAGTCCTCGGCTATATCGGGCGGCGCGCGCGCGCGCTACGCACTCGGTAACCAGGATCTCCCACGAAAAAATCGTTCTGTTTCTTTCGCCTGCCGGCTGCGCTCGTGTGTCCGGTGACTTGATGCATGCGATGTCAATACCTGGTTTTTCGTGTGGCATTAATTACTGCACCGTGGATGTCCGAGATAATTCTTTTTTTTGCAGAATGATCTACGGAAAACAGAATAAGCAAAAAATGTGTATTTTTCACAAGGAGTTAAGTTACAAACTAGGCGGAGTTATTATCTAGTTTTTTTATCATGTTTTGTACAGTTGCATATGCTGTGGACGTTTATGCAAATATAGAATTTTCCGGAGGATTTCCCGATATAGGACGTAAAGTGAAATTTATTTACCTCGTTAAGGGTTCTAATGGATTCGAAATAGAAAGAAGACCTAAATAAACTTTCTGAAGCTTTTTAAAATCCTTAATATAGATATAATCATTTATTTTATGGAGAGGAAACATTATGTTTTCTATTGTGAACGTGGACATTAGGATTTCGTCACGATAGAATAGATACATTCGCAACAAAATTAACTTTCGTTCTTCTTCAGATCCTCTAATAATAATTCATAGTAGTGGTGAAAACTCGATTCTGCCATGGTAGACCACAGAATACAGGTTTCTTGCTATACAATATTTCCTTCTAAATTTTCTTGTTATTTTCAAAATGCATCGCAATATTCGTTCCCCATGAACCAGATAACAAGCCAAGGGAAGGTGATCTCGCACTCACGCTAACGGAGAACCTCGTTATTCGGGACGTTCGTTTTGATATCTATTCTCAATCTCGTCGATTCGACGGTGTTATCGAAGGACTAACGACAATTCCTCGTATTCTTCGAACGTTCGACAATACGTCCTCCGTACTTCATTCAGCCGTTCCATGGACGAGGATCGATTTTCATCGGAACCGTGGAAAACTTGCGAGTAAGCTCTTTCGCAGAGGGGAGAACAAAGGACATGGGTAACTTTCGACGATCCTCCGACGTCTATGAACGGGAAACGCGTTACGCCATTACCGATGATAAATCGTTTTGGCAATTCTGGATGGTAGCGCTGTGTCGTTTCAAAACTTCGTCTAGTTCGACGGTGAGTTTTAATGGAGAAAATGGGACATGTGGACAATGAATATTCACAGGTTAATTTAGGCAATACTTCAACACTTTAACTTTTGGATTAGATTTGGATAAAATATTGCACGATAAATATTAAACCATCGTACCAGAATTTTTCCCCACTATAGAAATTGACGGTAATTGTCTCAGTTTAATGTACACAACTCATAGAACGAAATGACAACACAGTTGCTTTATAAAGTTCAGCTGTATAGATTAATAATAATATCCGTTCTGGTACACACAGTAGTGATAATAGTTACAGTGTTAATGAAAGAAAATTTTTTCCTCTGTTCAAGGATTTGTTAATTTCAAAATAAAATGATACATTTCAGAATCCTGTCTGAAGGGTTCTTTCATATGCAATATTCTGTAATGCATTTGCTGAGATTATAGAGCACATTATAAAACATCACATTTCTAAAGTGATGTCCCATGTAATATTCAAGTATCATCTCCCACTTTATCGTTAGTTCCTCTACTCTTCACAAGTGAAGTATACTTGAGGTTCACTTGAAGTCCTCTCCCTACTCACTGCACACAGGAGTTGCGCAGCGAATAGACATAATGTGGCACCTATTGAAAACAAAGCGAAGAGTTCAATGACATCAGAGTAGGGCAAGGTTTGGAGCCTCAGTTTATCCATCATATAGGAACCCAAAATTGTGAACTATAGAGGGAAAGTAAATTCTACAAATTTATTAGAACATTAGTTAATTTATTAGAAATCTAGATTATTCTTCTCCCTCCTTTCTTAAAATTCAAATTTCCTCAGAACGATTTAAAAATTTTATACTCACAGCACAGTAGAGAAATGTAACCAGAATTGTCAACAGCTTAAATACCAGTTCACGATTTCGTTTCCGTGAAGTTCAATTCTTCGAGTAGCCACCTTCAAGGCAATTCTAGGACCAAGGAAGAAATTAAACGCCATTACACGTCTGTCCCGTTCGTAACAGCTCATTCGTGCTTTACACCGTTATAAACGTTTCCAGGAATTCAGAGGCTCGTAAACAGCTTTTTAAACCATCGTCGATAAAAATCCACCAGTCGTCCCGCGTCGAGGTACCGCGCAGCGACGGATACGGAGTTAAGGGGCGAAGAAACGATGGGTCGGTTGAATCGTATATTCGTCGTTGGCTCGTATAAAAGCGCGTCGTAACGGCCTTATGTGACTCGACACGGACGGGGGTGAAGTCTGCGTTAACCACCCTGAAACGGGTCCAGATGAAAACAGAATCCGCGGGACTGAAAACTGTAATCCATAGACCCGGTGCGAACGCTTAAAGACGCCCAGATGACGCGTTGGGAGCGCAGTATAAGTAACGAGCGCATTTTCTAGCTAGAACGTGACATGCACACGGAGTTTGGATGGAAAAAGAGGAGGGGCAGGGGGTCGCGATATCGCCAGCTTTTATTATTGGCGCAATAAAAAGCTGGTAACCGAGTAATAATTTAGGAGTCGGGCGCCGTTCGACTCGAGCAGCAGCTTCGGCGCCAACGGGGAGAGTACACTTGGAGAAAACGCGATGTGGAGCGATCGCGTGGGTCCTTTCGATCTGTAACACCGAACTACAGTGATTTTACGTGCTCTTTTCGCGAACGAGCAAGTGCTTCCAAATTTTGATATATCGAGATAAATTGTGTCGCCTGTCTGAAAGGTGGTTAGGTTATTGATTTAATGATAAGTAGACTGCGGATTTTATCTATTTATAGCGTATAGGACTCTGTAAAATACTTTTCATATGATTTTGAGGATTTTTCATATGATTTTGAGGCTAATAAGGTGCTTAAGAGGATTGAGAAATTTTCTAGTTATAGTTAAGGTATTTAAGTGTAGATTAAATTCCGATTGGTTGAATCAAGGGATTTTATCAAAGGGTTTTAAAAAGTTGGGGTAAAGATCATCGTTTTTTAATACTATATTTTAATACAGTTTTGGCATGACGTTTCTTGAACACTGTGTATAATGTGGAATCGTTCTCGGGCCAGAGTCAATTACTTGTCATACACGATAACGGATAATCATCGTACGATAAGAAAAATATTGCCTGGTTCCGCGTCATTCATTATTTAATAGTGTGACCGCGTACAGCGGAGATCGAAAAAAAAGCAATATGGTTAAATCACTCGTAACAACGTTTATTCGTTTTCCATAAAAACGATCTTCTCATCCATTTTTATATATTTTTTTGTAGTACTTAACATAAATGGAGGGTCATAGGTGAAAAAAATCGAACGTCGTATCCATCGTGCGGCTCGTTAACGAAGTTATTTACTTATGTTCCTTATCACTTTATCCAGAGTATTAGTATCGAATCTCAGTGTCCATGGCACGCCGTGTATTTCAATTGGGAATCAAAGAAACCATAAGAAGCAGCTCCTAGAATATTTACGTAATGGCGGAGAATCGAATTGATGTGCGAGTCAATGTATTTTTCGGAAGACACTGCAGATTTGTCATTGCTTAATGATAAATTCACAACTTACTAATGTCTTGCAGACTCATCACGCTAACATCACCAATACCCTTACAAAGATTATTATACATAGCACGATCGAGAGCATCGATATGAAGGTGTACAAGCAGCGTCCTGAAAGAAAACATTAATCATAATAATCAGTCTATTCGTGTAGTCAAAAGCATCGAAACGTGTCCAACAATCATGTTTCCAAAAATCCAACTTATCAGCCGAATGAATCCTGAGATAAGAAATATCATTTTGTATTTTTGCAATACTTAGTGGACTTTACATAGAGGTGACATCAAAAAGAACGTCCGTAAATTTTCCGACTAACATTCTTAAAATTTCGTTATTTCCTTTTAGCACGTACGAAATGGACGATTACAGAGTCACATTATCAAACCACTTTAATTAAGTATAAATAAGGATTAAATTCAGATAGCTACTAAAAGTCTCTCTCCTATTCCTACTTTACGAAAGAATAGTGGATACATGATTCGAGTGTCTTTGAACACACTAACACACTAGGTTGAAAGTTCCGAGAAAATCATTAAATTATAATTTCTACAGAAACTCACGTTTCTTGCCTGCCGCCCAATACGGTGTTGCGATAACGTGCACCACTGTAGGCTCTGTATGCGATGAGTTGTTCGGTGATTGAACATGGTTCCCCGAAAATTCGGTACGTTGCGAGTTAGTAGGCGCCGATGGTTGGTGATAAGCCACACTGTATACTGGATGCGGATTCGTAGACTCCTCGTACGAAGGTGGTACGAGTTTATTTACATATCCTCCCCCCTGAGTCTGCATTCTTGACGGTCGTGTCGCGTGATTGGATCGTTTACAAAGAGAACTGCGTACGATCGAGACTCGTCATATGAGTCAAATCGTACCTTCGACAGTGCTTTTAAACAGATCTGATATCGACTGGACGCAATAATCGAAAAATATTGCGAGGGGGTCTATACGTTTCTATAATCAGGTCTTATCTCTGTGTAAGCATTTATCGATAACTCCCTTATCTATTCCTTCCTGTCGAACATCACGGCCACGGAAAAGTGTGTGTTTCAATCGAAATATCGTTTCTTGTTGCATTCGCGAACTGAACCTGTCATCCTGTCGAATGTAATTCGGCGTTTTGAACAGTACACGAAATTTACCGTAAACGCTCGATGTCATCGGTGTTCGTGACAACTGAACGACATTGTCCCAACAAAAGCATTGTCTTCGTCATTGGTAATTATTATCTTTGCACTAATCGATGATCTTGCGATAACGCATGCCAGTAGTCTTATCAGAATTTATCGATTCCACGAATGCATCACTTTATAGTCAGAATGGTTCTGAATATGTTAATTCGCTATGGATTGAACAATTTCGGTCCGAATGTCCATTACGGTATCCATGGACCACATTTATATCACGATGCCGAAAACTTTTAGAGGATCAGAATAATTTCAGTTCGGAGATCCGTCACCCATCGCTGTCGATCGCAGATGAACGTACCGTTTAATTCACTCAAACCACTGACTCGTGTCCATCGACGATCGCGTTAATATATACGTACATACAATTCAGTAATCCGCAAGTAATGGATGTCCGTGACGATATGCTAATCTAATCGATAATAAGTTCGAAAGTGTTCTTACTTATCAGCGACCCTGGACACGTCGGCCTTTTCCGCGACACAGCCTTAGACGAAACATTCCACGTCGCAAATTCGAATTCACGGTCGGTTAATGATATATTTCGCGCTCGAAACGATCGCAGGGAATGCATCGAGTCCTCGAACTCGTTTAAGTATGTTCGTTAACTCGTACAATATTTCGCGGTGAAGGAGACTCCAGTAAACAGCGATAAAAAAATATCGCGAACTTTGGATCCGCGGTGTTGATCGCGAGTAAACGACATATGTGCTTTCGCCTAAGTAATCGCCGGAGCTCCGCGAATAATCGTCAGGAGAACGTCATAGTTAAGAAAAAAAAAACGGACGCGTTTACGGTCACTTGTCGCGAGCGTATCAGCTTACGAGCGTTATGGATAGTAGGTTTGGGATGCGCGTGATACGTTAATCAATTGCAACCGAATCTCCCCCGCACAATATATTGGGCTCGGTCGGACCGCCACCGGAAACTGCTCACGCGCGCGCGCAAACACACGCAGTTCCTGGTGTTTCACCCGTAATATTATATTACCGTATTTACATTTCATACTTCTCGCTCGCAGGTAGAATAAATCGTGCAGTTTGTCTTCGTGCTGGCCGTATTAGCCAACTGGAAACGCGGTGCGTGCGTTGTTTTTCGAAGCAATAATAACGATACAGAAGGGCCAATGAAATATGGATATTACGAATCGTGTAAACCCTTTGTAGTATTCCAAGTTGAGTTTTTTTTTTTTTGTTCAATTAAGATTAATATGATTGAGGGGGCTCGTAACGAAAACGACCCCTGTTAATTTTTTCGAACGAAGCTTTGAGAAGAAAAGTTTTGGCAAGGGTTGTTTTCGAAGAATGTATCGAATTTCTATTCGGAATAAATCAGGACATAGGTAGTTTTTGATAATATACAGGGTGTCTCAAAATAGTTGCACGACCAGAATTTAGCATAACTATCTTTGAATAATAATGGTTAACTTGGTCTACAAACTGTTAATGAAGAGTTGTTTCATTATGGAAATTGGAATTTCCACGTTTCATCGATTAAATATGACGGTGTAAATTTTTAATCGTTCATTTGTTATTCGAAATTCTTTATCTAGATGCTGAGTTTGTCCATTTCTGGGTACCACCATGTTGTGAGTTACTTGAATCTGTTGTTATCACAAAAATCGTTACATTTGACGATGATCGTTTCTGTCATTAGCCCCTCAATCACGTGGATTATTGACTTATCAATGTACACGATTTTTTTCATTTCGTAGAGTATTTCTTCTCATTTCGTAATAAGGGTTCACCTCGATATAAGCTCATCGATGGTACCTTGTTAGAAGCTTCTAACCGGGTATCGTGTATCAATTATTTATCCAGGTTGCTAACTCACTTCCAATGGAACTTAAAATGAGTATACTGATAAAGAGTTGAATGATTCGGCGAATTTCTAGCTGAAATGTCGGTGCGCCGATGCTTATCGCAGCACGGTATAACATTGTACGCAATCGTGCCGGAAATGATTTTATCAGGCCGCCACGATTTCGCGAATCGGCGACAAATTCGAACGATCCCGGGAACGGTGCACCGAATCCCCGCTTCATCCGAACGAAAATAATACAACGAGCATTCCGAATGACTTCGTTTCCGCGACGTTCGTTATTATCTGCTCTCGGAATCTTTTCGCGGTTTGGACGAAACGCGAATTGGCCTGAAAATCACTTGAACGCTCTGGTTCTCCACCAAATGCTTTGGAAATGTATTTGAATCCTTGAACATTCTTGTGAATTCGAATATGTAAAATTATGAAACGATCGAGATCGTTAAATGTCGCGACTGGTTCGATGTGGTTCCAGGGATGGGAATTACGCTGGAAATTCCGAAACAGCGAATTTAATAGACTGTTTACCAAGCATGTCATACATCATCGTGGAACGCATCTTCGGCTCGCGAGTGGCTTGTTAAATGTACCGGTACAAATACAAGATCAATACCATTGTGTCTTGCCGTCGTTCGAGTATTACACGTTAAGCGGCGTTAAGCCCGATACGCATTTGACGGCAGTGTCCTCGTGTAATGTTAATTTACAATAGCGTTTTCAAGTGTGCACCTGGCGTTAGGCATCGTGCAAAACACACCGAGATAGAAAAATAGAAGAAAAAAAAAATAAGGCTCCAGTTTCTTGTATCATGGTTGCACGTGTCGTCCCGGAAAAGTGTAAACGTGTTTTTATCATCTGTTTTATTGATTAAGTGTCTTGCTCGACAAATGTGCGCCTCAGTGTTGATACGAATTGTATTCGTTTACATCCTTCTTGGCGAGTATTAGTAGGAGTGTCTCAACAAACAGCTTTTTCAATCCCGAGAGTCATCGTGAAACCGATCACAGAGAGGACCGGAATGACGATGAAACGGCCGATCGTCAAACTGCAGGCCATGCAGCAATCGGAGGAAAAAAGTTAATGAAGTCTTTCAGTCGTGTTTACACTGCGATGTTTCTCGTTAGGAGATACCATTAAATTCAATTACCATACAGTACACAATGTACAGGAATAAAATTGTATTGATTACTAGTTTCTTTTTTTTTAACCGGCTATTTACATCTTATTACTACCTGTTCAGGTATAATTGTTAGTGTTCGCGTTTAAGTTGACAATATGAAATTGTAAGAGTGTAATCTCCGAGCTAATCAGTTCTATAACTGGTTATTTGCTAATTAGATTGACTCACAGAAAGAAAATTTCATTACACGTCATTTGGTAAACCTGTTGGAAATCCACTGTTTTTTTTTGTCACATCCATTACTAACAAGAGTAGCAACTAAAAACTTCCATTACCTTAGTCATATTTGCTGTTAAATAATGGGGTACCTCGTTGTTGCGTCTTACGTCGGAGTTCGAAATAGAAACACGTAATTGTACATACATTTAGAACCGCCACAGTTTTACAACAAACGTGTTCTTAATATAAAATTCGCACGAGGACTGACTTCCCTACGTCTTCTCCACTCTCTTGGACGCCAAGTCGAAAGTAATAATAACTGTAATGAATAATAATCATAAAACTAATAATAATAGTATATAACTTCGAAGGAATACATATTTCTATCCATTGCGTGAGTACATAAGCAAACCATCTTGCTCTATTTTCGGTACCCGTTTAACCCCGTGATAGGGGAAAAAACGTACCTCCCTGATTTCTATAAAGCTTGATAACTTAAAAGTCTGACTTTATATTGTCCAAAGCATGTGCGAAATACAAGATTGTCAACATATAATTGCATTATGATTCATAAAGGCTCAATTAAAGAGGTACAATTATTACTTTACTCGCATTTTCCCCTATCATCCCCATAACGTCCCCTCTTCCTCTATGTGGTTTATCCCCGGCCATGGTATATCGTTCGCGATACTTCACGACGTTACGGCACCGAGCCGTTTATAGATCAGTCGGAGCCAAGCGGTGTGTCGGTGATTCTCCATCGGGGCGGTACTAACGCGGTCGCGTCTCCCGTTGCCAAAAAGTTCGCGCGTACGCGTCGCGTGCTCGAACGCGGACACCGTTGCAGGAAGGACGGAGATAATTCGAGAACCGCGTGGCAAGGAGGAAGAGAGCAATATACTGACTGAGAGGGTAGCGCGGGGGGTTGGGTCGGGGGGAAAAATGGGTCGGCGCCGGACTTTAATCAATGGTTTCGGCGCCAACTGGGCGACGGGGCGCGCGCGTTTCTGCGAAAAAAAATGCGTGAGTGGCCCGGTATAACGAATGGGAACTCGTGTTCTCGTTCACCCGGGGCTGGATCCCCGTCGCCTTGGTCGCGAGTTAACGTCGATCCGGATGTGCGTGCCGCGAACAAAACTATCCTGCGGTTTCACCACGCTCGTCGTTTTCCTCTTGTTTATTTCTCCCCTGTATTTCTTTTTTTTTTTTTTGTTTTTTTTTTCGTTGGTTTTCATCGAGCACCGGGGGACGCAACGAATAACGTGCGTGACGCTGGACCAGCAGGTAGCACGTTTTGGGAAAAAAAAAAGATTAGTTGTGACGTCTCGTGTCAACGGTGTCGCCGCGGTCGAATCAAACTACGCTTTTGGTGTGCAAGAAAAAAAAAACGTGTGGTCGGCTGACCTGCGTTTTTTTTCTTGTTTACGAGCGTTGTGAAATATTCGCGCGTCGCCACGGAAATTACGATGAGGGGATGTGATCGACGAGGGTGGATGCGTGAAAAAGAGATATTTCGGGGGCTTCGAATACCAATCTTAAATGTATCGTCACGGTATCAATTAACATTTTGATTTAAGAGATTTGTACATTCT